TAGATTATTTTAGGAACCGTTGTTCCTATTTTTTTGGGTGGATGAGATCACCCATAGTTTCTTAACAGATCAATTTGGGATGGGAGGGTATTTAATATGGGTAAAATAGTAAATTGACACTCTCATAAATCACTCCTTGGTATATAAGATCAGGTACAAAACATTAATAATTTTGAAACACTCCTTGGTATATAAGATCATGTACAAAACATTAATAATTTTGAAACCGAGGGAGTAGGTCTCTTCCTTCCCCGCTTTTGTCGTTCTCCGTCATTTTCGTCCCTCAAGATCATTCCTCCTTCGATAAGTACACTGTTTCCCCACCGCCACATTCATGTGCCTCTCCCAACGGAGTCACCATCATAGCTGCGACAACAGAAGAATAGCTACCAGATGTACCCGGCCATCGCTGCTCTGCTCGAGGATGTCGTGCTGGATTACCTGAACCGCTGGTTGAGCCCACAACTGACCTCCTCCTAGCTAACCAGAATACCAGATGCTTATAGAATCTAAATCTAATTTATGTTTAAAAAAGGAATCTAAATCTAATTTCATACGTCATGGGAGCTTACAGTATTCGCACTCATTTCAGTTCCAATTTTACATTCTATAATTTATAATACCTATAGTATAGCGTGTAGTATATATAATAAATGAAATCAGACCCATTAATTATATTGGATCATAAGCAACATAAAAACACTGGTGGTGTAGTAGTGAAGTCATGTGTACATGACTCCAGCCACCATGATTTAAATCTTATATACCCACGAATACTATATACGTGTAATTGCCCTTTCAATAGAAATTTAGAAAGGTCGTGATATGCCTCTGTATCCATCTATGTGTGTGCCTTTATAAGGGGTGTGCACTCACCGGCACCTTAAAATGGCCAATCAATATTCATCACCATAAAAATGGCCAATAAAAATTCATCGAGTTGATTTTAGTTTAGATTATCTTTTACTATCAAAGTTTTAAGTAGACCACTCTTTGCATAACATATTTTAAAGTGACATTATTGTAAAATTACTAAGTTAAAACAAAAAAGTTGGTCAAAGGGTAGTTCAAATGAAGCTTTGACAATTAATGATAGACTAATTTGCAATTTACTCCCGTTAAAATCACTACTTTACTTACATACTTTTATTTCGATTAAATGGAAGGCACACACCAGCTAATAATTAATGTGCTCCCATTTTGCTAATGAAGTTAGTGCGAGCGTATATAGCATAGTTAATGTCATAATGTGGCACGTATACTGTTTGTGAATACTTATTCTAAATTTAGAAAAATGGATTCCATGTTCAACATGTTTCATTGTTTCTGATATCTTTTAACGTTACTGATTGCAGGAAAGGAAAAAACTTAAACCTCAAAGAACAGTAATGATAGTTGCAATTCGTGATTATGATAATGAGGTCAGTTTAATTATTCGTGCACATATGTGGCAGTATTTACTATCAACGTTTAAAATTTTTCATTAGACCTTGCAATACATTTAAGCAGGTATAGAGATCTGTTAAAAATTAATCATTTCACTGTTTTGGTGCAGACTCCAGAACATGTACTGATAAATCAACAAGCCAATACTCTGACGACGGTACTTTCTATACCTAATCCACTTTTTGTGAATTGTCTACGGAATAACGATAAGCTAACAATTAAAATTAAAGTTTATGCAGATATGGAATTCTGTTAATCCACATTTGGACTTATCGGAGTACCTCGAGGTGAGTTTACTACATAAGAACTTTTTTTAACGGATAGCGGCAACAAAATGCTGTCACCACCTAATTAATTAATATCCTTAATATAGGAAATATATTCTATAAGCATAAATATACCGTGGACACCAACTAAAAAATTCTAAAAAAAATTATACTACTCTATCCTAGATTAATGAATGCTACTTCTCACCTTCAACCTTTGTAAAAAAAATTGTACTTGTAATTATGTGGAACCAACAAATTAATTACATCTCCTCACCCGTTGCCTTATCCTCTCCCCCGTCCACTCAATGCTCCTTTTAATCATTATTATATATGGAATATATGCGTGTAGTATGTTCATTAACTAGAGTTATTATAGTCATTTGTGTATGCTTCTAATTTGTTCTTAATTATCTAAATAATTAATTTGGAACGGAGATTAGTATATGTCAATTAGTACTAATATATTTATATTTATGTCATCTAAAGTCTAATCTCCAAATTCATTATATATATTTAAGATAAAAAGACGAAAAAACTCGGACATATTTCCACCCTTAAAATTATCACAATTTTAATTTTTATACATCTAGAATATAATAAATTTGAGGTTAAAACTTTACACATAAATATAATAATATATTGAAAGTACATGCATATTTTTTTTCTAAAATTTTGGTGAAATTTATTAGTTATTGTGTACGTGATGTATATGAAAAGCTTGTGTGCATATGATATATTTACCTTATAAGCATTGGCGGGGCCACCGCTCAGCTAGCCCGGGCTCGCTGGTAAAAACTTCATTAAATTTTAATATTGATGAGTAAATTGATAATGAAATTTCTATAACGAATGATAATTGAATTGAAGTTTGCCCAAGTAAAAAATGATAGTGTAAGACTATAAAAACAAAAAAAAAATCAACATCGCTTCATCAAATTAATTAGGATAAAACTCAATCTCCTTCTCCCCCTTCGCCACCACGAATCTCCATGCATCTCCTTGACCTGTTGCCCCTTCTTGCGCATCCTGTGTCTTTCCCCATCCTCCTTTTCGGCTCCTTGGCGACCTGGTTTAGGCTGGATTCTATGGACCGCCAAATCCAACCTTCCTGACCTCTCGGGTTGTAGGATCCTTTCAAGGCGGCTTTGGCCCTATTTAGGGAAACATAAGATTCTAAGAAATAGTTGATTGATAGCCAGCTCATGAGAATTTGAAGAATCTGGGTTTTTCAGCATCTGGTTTTTAGTTCTTTCTCTAGATTCTACAACTACATATTCTAAAAATCTGAATGAGAATCTGCACTGTTTGGGGGAGCTGAGCTTCCATGAGAATGGCTGGGGGGAGCTGAGCTTCTATGAGAATCGCCCAGCCAGCTTCTGCAGAAGCTGCAACAGCTAGAATCACCCCCAACAGGGCCTTTATCCCAGCCGCAACCGCGAGAACGGCCCAAACTAGCTAATCCATACACCCCAAATCAGCCTCGGCTAAGACGGAGGGTGCACCAGCTTACGATGATGGCTTAGGAAGAAAAAAAACCATTTTTTCATCAAATTTACATGAATATAAACGTTCCGAATGAAAAATGGTAGAAATATACCATGCATTGTCGCAGAGCGGAGAGGAAGTGAGAGACGCAGCGCGCAGTGAGGACGTAAGACCACGTGACCTCGCGGGGCAAGCACGCGAGACCGCCCGAACTCGCACGATTACTTGATCAATTAGTGTCATGCACAATTAATTAATTTTTGTTATTTATCTAATTTGCATAATTAGTACTCCATCCGTATTTTAATGTATGACACCGTTGACTTTTTAACCAACGTTTGACCATTCGTTTTATTCAAATTTACTGTGAAAATATAAAAATATTTATCTCATTCTTAAAGAATATTTGATGATGAATCAAGTCACAGTAAAATAAATGATAATTACATAAATTTGTTGAATAAGACAAATGGTCAAACGTTGGATGAAAAGTCAACAACGTCATACATTAAAATATGAAAGTAGTAGTAATTACTCCCTCCGTATTTTGACAAACGTTTGACCTTTTGTCTTATTCAAAAAATTAATGTAATTATAATTTATTTTATTGCGACTTAATTTATCATCAAATGTTCTTTAAGTATGACATAAGTATTTTTATATTTACATAAAATTTTTGAATAAGACGAATGGTCAAACGTTAGTTAAAAAGTCAACGGCGTCATACTATTTTTTAAAATAGGAGGGAGTAACTAATTAATTAATTAGCAATTAGGATTATTACTTGTGTCATTAGCATCATTCCGGCCGGTACGTGTCGCTTCGTCAACAAGCGAGACTGAGTTGTCGTCGCTAGCCCAAGCAGCAAAACCGAGCGCTCTCCCCGCTCTCACTATGCGAGATTGCTTCTCATCATGCCATCATCACTATCAACGTGTTGGTATCGTGATTTCGTCGCAATTTCGCACTGCCGAATCGCAACGATGATCTATTCGATCGTGTAAATCCATTTGAATCTCGTATATCTGTTTTAAAAAAAAATTCAAATTCTTTTAGCTTAGGAAGACGGTGGCGGCGGCTTCAATGCTGAACATCTGCCAACGTACATCTCTCCAAGGCTTGGCACATGTGAGCGTGTCGTCCTCGGCGGCAGCGGCACTTGAGCAGAACAGTGCCTGGCTTCCGCAGTCTTTTTCATCAATATATTGTTTTTAAACATTTTATAAAAAATAGAAAAATATCCGTGCGTTGTAATAGGTCAAGATTATTTTAATCATATTATTATTAGATTATTTTTCTAAAATATATATGAGATTTTTTATTTTGATAGTATCAATATCTAACACGAAACTCTTATTGAGACGATGGCTTTCTTACGTGCTAGCAAGAAAATTAGTTGTCCGACTATTATTTCAAATTAGTATGCAAGTTTTTTTAAAGAACTCTTTATATATTTTTAAAAACGAACAAATTTAAAACCGATTTAAATATAACGATATACCAAAGTATATGTGAAAACATATTACAGTATAAAATCAAATTAATATTTAGATGACCTTACAATAGAAACTAGCCTATTGACTTTGCGTTACAACGGTCTTTTAATTAATAAATATCATTAGCCCGTTGTTATTATTATTATTATTATTATTATTATTATTATTATTATTATTATTATTATTATTATTTACTTACATCATATCTAATTATTTATATATTTGGCATATGGCCCCTTTGGCCGTACATAGTTTTTTGGCAAATTTTGCTACAGGATACTCAAAGTTTGTGGTATTTGCTATGAGACACCTAAAGAACGAGTATTTTCTTATCGACATTACAAAATATAGTAGTTAGCTACTGGACATCCAATTCATTATTTTATTATTTTCGGTGAAAATAGAAAGAAAGAGCATTGAAAGTACCGAAATGCCCCTGGGCACTGTCCTTCCTTCTTTTTTTTTTTGGGGGGAATTTAACTATTTGCCGCTTTCACTCTACAGTGCAAAAAGTGGCAAAAAGTTAAAAAACTTCTCTCTCCAATGGCAAATTATTAAGTGCAATTCTAAAAAGGGTATTTGGTTAATTGTCAAACGTAAAAGTGGCAAATAGTTAAATTCCCCCTTTTCTTTCTTCTCTCTTTTCTTCTCTTCAATTATTTTTGCTCCCGTCGTGCGGCGTCGTCGGTGGCGTGGGCATGTTCACCGTCGGTAGCAGCTTCTCCTTCCACGCGCACGACTTGAGCTACTCGAGGACGACGTGCGGCGACTTCGCCTTGCCGGTGGTCGAAGACGCGCACCTGGACGCCGACCAGCTGCTGCCACGCCGGCGCGAGGTACACGCTGTAGTACAGCGGTGTGGTTGGCCTGGGGGAACAGGTAGCGGCCGAGGTAGTGGAACACGGCGCCACGCTCCGGGAAGAGCGCGTCGAGCTCGTCCTGGAACGTGGTGACCAGGAACAGCGATGGCACGATGTAGGTGTCCGTCCTCATCACCAGCCGCTGGTCGTCGTCGCAGAAGAACATCTTGTCGTCGTCGCCGTAGTCGTGGTTCAGGTGGAGGTACGCGAACGCCGGCATCTGGGCCGCGGGCATGTCACCGTCGCTCCCGTCTGTCCCGAGCACCTTGTTCTTCATCATGTTGCCATAGCTCTCGGCGCTGTCGGCGCTAAAGTTCGCGTAGCTACGACACCAGCGGGAAGTCGCACGGGAGCAGCCACATCGTGCGTCGGCCTCGGTGGCGCTGCCCTTGCCGCTCCCGTCTTTTAGCCGCTGCACGGCGCGGTTGTACGACTCGGTCTCTGGAGCTCCTCGTGCATCCGCAGCCGTGTGACGAGGTGCGGAGATGGTCGTCGGCCCGGGTTCTGGCAGTACAGGGATGACTCCTACCTGCTGCAGCATGATTATTTCTCGTCGAATCCTTCGGGCAATAGGCCGTACGTCGAGAAGTTTGTCAGCCGCGCTTCGTGCCAATGGAATCGATTTAGGAAAATTTTGCTACATTGCTCCTCCTCCGAACCACCTCCGCCATTGCAGCGACGACCAAGAGCAAATTTGTCTTTAATGAGAATTTCTCTCTCCAATTCCTTCGTAAATAATAAAATAAGGCCGAGAGTGTCCGACAGCTAATTACTATTTTTTTTTTCCCAACAGGAAATTTGCGTTCTTACGGTGTCTACTAGCTAATTACACATTTTGTTTAGTGTCATATAGCAAATTTTGCCTTTTTTTTTCTTCCCGCAATATAGTATAAAGTTGGTGATGAGCGTGACTGACATGTGGATGCTTTAGCGCAATATATCTTTTCTATACTCCTTATAAAAAGTAGTTGTGGTGGTGGTACCCCTACTACCAACTCCCAATATTTTTTAAGGAAAAAGCACGAATTACCCTCCCAAACTACCATGGTCGACCGAATTACCCCTTAAACCGTAAAACCAGACATTTTATATTCTGAACAATTTATACCAGACGAATAACCCCCAGGCTCAATCCGGAGCGGTTTTAGTCCTACGTGGCCGAGCACGTGGCACCAGCCTCACATGTTAGCCTCCACTTCATCCTCCCTCTCTTATGAAGCTAGTGGGCCTGCAGAGATGCCGATGCCTCTGCCCCATGGTCTGGCCACCACCGCTAGGCACCCGCGCCATCATCCCCATCTCGAACCCCACCTCCTTCAGCCAATCATCACCGCCGTTGCCCCCATCCAACCGCTGGAAAGAGAGGGACAGAGGGAGAGAGAGAGAGAGAGATAGAGAGAGAGAGAGGCGGCGGCGGCGGTGGTGGCGGCATCACTGATGGTGGCGCCCTCTAGCAAGAGGAGGATGGCAGGAGAGTGGCAGTGGTGGCATTAGGAGAGGAAAAGTGAAAGTTGGGCTTCGGCAAGGCAGGATCCGACGAGGCGAGGGTCGTCCACTGTTGCCCCTCTTGCTCTCTTCCCTCGGAGGCGAGGCGATCCTCACCACCGCCGCTGCCTAGAGTGCCATCCCATCCGCGATGTCACGCCCAGAAATTTAGCCCAAATTTCCAGACTATTTTATGTATTAAATCCCTGTCCAGGACCAGCCAGGGTACACAAAACGACAAGTAATATACAGTTCCAAACGTAAATAAAAGCGTAAAATACTTACAGAAGAGGCACTTAGTCCTCACACCAAAAAGAAAGCAGCAGCAGCGGAAAAGGCGATCCTAGTGGGGCTTTAGCTCCACTCCACAGGTAAAACTCAACTGGGGTCTGAGCCTTGGTCTTCTAACTTCGTCTTCAGCTCAGCAGCACTACACTTCTGAAAAGGGGGAATAATAGCAAGGCTGAGTACAACCACCGTACTCAGCAAGCCACACCAATGATGCAGACGTGCAAGGGGATACAAGGACGGTTTGTGGCTATTTGCATAAAGGCGGTTGTAAAACATTTTATTGAGCAAAACGGTTAAACTGTTGAGTAATTAAAGTAACATTAAATCTCCACTGATCAACGCTACACCACGTTGAACAGGCCCAACCAACCCACCTGAACTACAGTGCATTGAGTCAATTTATTAAGGTGGGACTAATCACGGTAAATCTGGTCAACCGCCCATAACCGTGGGCACGACTATTCGAATAGTTTTACTCTGGACAGAGGTGTACAACTGTATCCACAAGACAGCCCCACGACACGTTTCTGTGCGCCGACATGTCACCATGACATACCGGAAAGAGGCCGTGACAGGACCCTTCGCATATCCCCCTCTAACCGATCGCACCAGACCTGAGGGTTCGCCCCCGTCCCCAGCAGGCAACGGGCAGCCCTCCTCTCGTGCCGCGGTGAATCCGGAAGCCGATCAACCGGACACCCCGGCCGACCCAACTCCATCACGCCCACCCTCGCCTGGGTACGTCGGCTAGAGGAAAGCTACACTACAAGCCCAGCCGTTGCCCACGCTGGCTTGTGGTAAGCACGATAAATTCTTCCAGGGTTTTCTGCGAACCGGTCCTTAATTGCCATGGGTGCGACTAGCAAAACCATGCACCCACAGCCCACCATTTAGTCGCATTTTAGTTGGATAATTACGGGCATAAAGCATGGCCAGATGTCTCGAGCACGCAGCTCATTCTGATACTAAAAAGGTCTAATACTGTAATTATCCCATCAACTGAACTAGTGGTAATTAAGCATGGCTAAGCATATAGTTCTAGCTAGGTCACATAAGTAACATGAGTTAGTTGATTTATTACCCAAGGTTGACAAATGACATATATCAAGTAAACATAGCACAAGCAAGCAGATAGGTAATACCCGGATCCCATGTAATTAGCAAGACATGCATGTTTATTTGTAAACGGTAAAACATTTATAAATTGGGATCAACATGCTCAAGGGGAATGTGTGACTTGCCTTTCTTCTTCAAAACAATCTTCTGAACTCTTTTCCTCGCGACCGCGGACTTCCGAAACGACGGATTCTATATGTTGGCACGCAAAATGAGGAAGAACTCTAATAAAAACCAAGGAAACAGTACATAAAAAGTAAACAAACATGTAGAGCTCAATTTTAGATGAATTTTTTAAGTTGAATGGCTCAATTCGGAGTTCGAATGAATTAGATATGAATTTTAGAAGTTGAGCCATTTAAATGGATTTCTATAATTATTACCAATTTATTGCGCAATTATTAATTATTTTCTCAAAGGAAAAGATCATCGCTGACGTCAGCAAGGGGCAGCCGACGCCGACACGCGGGCCCCACACGTCAGTGAGCAAAGGGGACAGGCGCACGGTGGACACGGTTCACCGCAGCCTCGGGCGCACGTCCACCATTTGGACGGCCCAGATCGGCCTGAGCTGATCGGGCGGCCGAGGGGAGCGGCGGCCAGGGGCACTGGCGCGGCGGCGGCACGCAGCCACCGGCGGCAGAAGCCGGCGACGCGGAACGACGGCGGGCGGCCGGAGGACAGCGGCGCGCACGGGGGACAGCGACGCACCTCAAGAGGCGGCAGCCGGCAAGAAAGGGGGACGGGAAAAAAAGGGGAGGGATGAGAGGTCCTCACCGAAAGCGGCGGCCGACGCGGAGGAAGATGACGGCGACGAGGATTGCCCGATGGCGGCTGGCGAGGACGGAGGGCGGACGAGGTCGCCCTTGACCTGCGGAAGGAGAAGAGGGAGTTAGGTTGGGGAGAACCGATGCGGGGTGACTGGAAATGAAGGCCGATGGCGACGACGAGAGGTGGGGCTCACCGGCGAACTTAGAGGATGAGTTGGAGCGGCGGAAGACGACGACCGAGCAGCGGACGAGGTGAGGGCGAGCACTGCGAACGCGCCAGAGGCAGCAGCACGGCCGGGTGAGGTCCCCCTCACCGGCAAGGAGCGGCTGGAGCGCTGTGGAAGCGGAGGTAGCTCGGCTCCGCGGTGGGAGGTGGTTCCGGTGGTGAATGGGAGGGATGAGGCGGCGGCCAGGCTTGCCCTTGTGGCGTCGAAGCCGGCGGTGGATGCGGCGCAGCACGGCAGCGGCGGGAGCGGCTGTAGCGCGCGGCTGGAGGGCACCGGCGGTGGTGGAGCTCGGGGTCGACGATGGAAGCAGTGCTTGGGCTACCGAATGAAGGGGTGGAGCGGCGTCCGAGGCGTGGCACTACGCGGCGCAGCTTTTGGTGGCGGTGGCGCAGCGCGGCTGCGACAGGAACAGCGGTGGCGGGCGGCTGGAGTTCGCCGGGGAGCGGCGGAGAGAGGGAGCACGGTGGGGAGGTGGCTAGGAGGCGCGGGGTGCTCGGGGAGAGGGGAAAACGGATGAGGGGAGGCACGTGAGTCGTTTATATAGGTCCCGGAGGGGGAGAACGTGGCCGGGAGAGGCGGATTTGAAGGGGGAAGAGGCGCCGGCGACGTGGGCGAGTGGCGGAGCAAACCGGCGCCGGATTTTGGGGGAAGTGGGGGAGGAGAGTGGAGGAGGTGGAGGGGATGCGGTTGCTCTCGGTTCGGATGCGAGCGCGTGAACGGGAGGACGCGAAAACGGCGGCATCGTGGGCGGCAATGGCGGCCACGAGCGGCTGCTGGCTGGGATGGAGGGAGGTTGGGGATGATAGGCGGGGCCCATGGGTCCCACACGTCGGCTGGAGAGAGAGGAGGGAAACTGGGGACGCAAAGCAGACTTCTCTCAAGGCCTGAGCCGGCCTAGAGAGGGAGGAGGCGCGCGGCCCGGGAAGGGGGAGGGAATTTTGGGCCAAGCCCGAAGGGCGGAGAGGGAAATTATTTGGTTTTCTTTTTATTTAATTGATTAAATGAACTTTGTGACTTAAAATTATTTCTCGAGCTCCGAAAATTCGCAGGAAATTTCAGAGAGTATTTTAGGGCACAAAGAATATTACAAAATATTTTCGGCCAATGATTTTTAAAGGAAATTTTAAATTCCCTCAATAATTCACTTGATTAAATTGCTTTAACTTTTATTTAATTTCTAGAAAATGCATTATTTAATGATTTTTAATCCTGAACGAAAATCGTGGCGTTACACGCGCCCGCCGCCGACCAGAGCCACCCAACTGCGCCCGTCGCAGCTTACTGCCGACCGGTTCCCCCTCCCGACGTGCCGCCGCTAACCGGAGTTGGAGGGGATGCGGAAGGGCGAAGGGGGAGTTGAGGTGGATGGCCAGATGGGGAAGGGAGAGGAGATGGTGGTGGAATTGGAGGTCAGCGCACCCAACAGCGTCGCCAAGATTTTCCATTGGAAGACGAGGTGCCTCCGTCTCCTGCCGCCGCCCGTCGCGTCGACGCCTATGGCCACCACCCGCAGCGTCGATGCCTTCGGCTATCACCCGCCTCTCCGCAGCGCCCCCTACCACTACCCGCTCGCCACCACGCCCCCACATCACCCGCCGGGATCTACCATTGGGGGGGGGGTGGGAGGGGAGGGAGATCGGAGGGGGAGAAGAGGTGGCCGTCACCCACCTTTCCGATGCCCCCGCCTCACCCGCCATCGGACACCTTCGAGCGTCGCCACCCACCGCTTGTCCCCGCGTCGCCATGCGTGCTTTGCAAGGGAGAGATGGGGGGGAGAGGGGAAGAGAAAGTATGACAGATGGGTCCCACCATTTTTTTAAAGAAAATGCTGACTAGATTGTCACGCGTACGCCACGTAGGATAAAACTGCTCTGGATTAGGTCGAAAGGGATAATTTGATCAATATTGGAAGTTCAGGGTAAGCAATGTTTGGGTTTTGGTTCATGGGGTAATTCGGTCAACCACGATAGATAGGGGGTAATTCGTACTTTTTCCTACTTTTTAGGGAAAATGGCATGTGGGGTCGTAGGTTCATATATCAACTACTCCCATCAACTCTCTACTTTTCTAGAAGAAAAAAAATATTAGTGTGGGACTAAAAAGGTATACATATGATTAATAAATATGTAGAAATGATAATAACATGTTAATGATAATTTTCTTTAACTAAAATCTCGTTGCAACATAGAAGCAATTTACTAGTAAACTTTAGAAATGCATTGAGTTGATGGTGAGAGTGGTGATATTCATTGCGCACTACGGCCGCGCTGCTCTCTTTAAAAGGAGTATAATATAGAACACCGCTGCTGTGCACGCTGTCATGTCCATGCGACAACGCGTGTAGGCATGCATAGGATAGAACGGACGGCTAATGCACGATTAATTAGTTTCAAAGTTTTTTTCCAAACTTCCAACTTTCCATCACATCAAACCTTTCATACACTCACAACTTTTCAGTCACATCATTCCAATTTCAACCAACTTTTCAAACTTCAGTGTGAACTAAACACAACCTTACTTGATAACGAAATACCAGGTGGCAAGGGGATTATATTTTTATGCCTGAACTTAGTGCGTGACAGAAATGCAACTTAATTCAAAATTTTAATTGCTTTATATATATTTACACATGTTCTATTCCTCTATATGCAGTTGGAGTATAGGACTTTCCCTCATCATAGGCATGGGAGAGAAGAATTCGAGCAAAAGGTATATGGTAGGAGTATTCTTGTTATTTTTTTTATTATACTATTAATTAGGCTGACTTCTTTTCAGCAACCTTAAACAACAACTTAATTGTTTTCTATTAGCATGTTTTTGGGCTACTAAACAAATGCACTATGTGCAAAACTTTTTTTATGTTTCTTTAAAAAAAATCAAACAATCTATTTTTCAAGTTTATCTGGACTCTGTTATATTATCCTTTATACATTATTACTTTTCTTGGATTTCTCTAGGAAAAGTATTCAAATACGTTATACTTTTCTTGGAACATGTTTTGCAGTGTGCATCTCTGAGGGAATGGATCACTTCTGGAAACCTTGCTGGACGCCGACATCATGATATCTCAGCTAGGGTTTTTTCTGACAGCGCAGACAGAATATGGCGTGACGTACTGCTCAACAAGGAACTTAATCTTACATCTTACTATGTGAGTTGCTTCCGACAAAAATTTCAATCAGAAGCTCATATATCGTGTTCGTAAATCTTCAGGTTTTATATTTAAAAGTTCCTAACGCAACGTACACACTGCACAGGTAGCGTCCTCATATATGGTGTGCTACAAAGCGAAGAATAATCTTTTTTCTTCTATTCGATCAGAAGAGGTAACGGTACTTCTTACGTACTCCCACTGTTCCACGATGGTCTGAGTTTGTCCTAAGTCAAATAACTTAAAAAAGTTTATAGAAAAATATATAAAAACATCTACAAAATACAATTAGTTTTTATAAATCCACTATTAAATATTTTATAATATATTTGTTTTGGGATGAAATATTGTTCTATTTGTCTATAACTTTTGTCAAACTTCAACAAGTCTACAACAAACCCAAACGACTGATCATAAGGAAAGGAGGGAGTAGTGATTATCCTTGTGGCCATTATTTAGGGGTATGTTTGAAGAAGTTAAAATTATGACAAGCAATTGGTTAGTAGTCATCTTGTCGATAAATATATATGTTGATACCTCGCGTGTTGCTGTGAGACTTTGTCGATAAATATATGTGAGATAGGTAGCTAACGCAACTATGGACTGAAAAACACATGGAAAGGAATATAAAGATGTTCATCAAGAATGGAAGTGCGTTTCAGGTTTTATTTTCTAAAACATGCATGCTGATCACCAATCAATTTCTAAAATTGTTAACTCAAGTGTCAGTATAGCAGCCAGAAATAACTTGGTCAATGAAGCAATAACGTAGGCTGCAGAAAGCTGGTGCATTGAGGATGTCACAGTGCTAAATGGGCCTTGAAACAGAAAGAGTAAATTACACTAGCGGTCCTTAAACTTGTAATAAAGTTTTACTTAGATCCACAAACTTGTAAAACATGCATTGATGTATCATCCTGGTCCAAAGTCTGGTTTGACCGTGGTCTTACCTATGTGGCATGCCACGTGGATGATGACATGGCTAAATTTTCTTTTTTCCTTTTTTCTCCCCCATCTTGTCTCTCCTTCCTCACCTCGCGTGGTGGATGAGGTTTCCGGTGACAGCGTGTGTGCGGGCGGCGGCCGATAGCCGGCGAGGAGAGGAGCCGCGCGCGTGCTCGGGCGCCGGCCGACGAGAAAGGAATGGCGCGGGGGCGCGGCTGGTGGGAGGAGAGGAGCCGTAGGCAGAGACCGAGAGGGGAGGAGAGGGAGAGGCGACCGCCACCCGCGGCTCCTCTCCTCCCGCTGCGGCAACATCCGACTTCTCTTTCTACTTCCTCTCCCACCGCTGCCCTCACCGTCACCACCAGCAAGTGCCATGGCCGGCCGCTCCTCCTTCCCCGCCGTTGGACGCCTCCTTCCCCACCTCCTCTCTGGCCGTCGACGTGCCGGCCCATCGCGTCCTCCTCCTGTGCGCCAGACGCCGCAGGGGAGGCCGGTTCCAGGGGAACGCCGCAGCGCTCGAGCGGAAGGAGGCAGAAGGGGATTCATAGCTTCGCCAAATGCCACAAGGGAGGCCGGATCTAGGCGGAAGGGAGAGGAAGGAGGCAAAGTGGAGAAATTAAAGGGATAAGAACGGAGAAAAAAAAAACCTATGTCATCTTCCATGTAGCATGCCATGTAGGCAAGACCACGGTCAAACGAGATTTTGGACCGGGATGATACATTAAAGCAAGTTTAGGGATCTCGATGTGTGTTTTACAAGTTCGTGGATCTAAGTGAAACCTCGTTACAAGTTTAAGTACTGCTAGTGTAATTTACTCAAACAGAAACAAATAGCTACAAACTGTAAAAATGATAGAACATAAAAAAAAATTATATTGAACGTAGAGCATATCATATCTACTTAATAACTTTTTTTAAGCAAAAGGAGATGACATTCAACGACTGAAACCATCACGAAACATTAATTTTACCTCATTCTGTCGAGCTGCACACTTTTTCAGGTGAGAACAGATGAAATTATCCCTGCAAAATTACTTTTAATTTGATGAACTAAAGAAACATGCGGCTTTTGAATGATCGATGCATGGAATCAGTAACTAAGGAAAATGCTGATCCAAAAAGCACAAAAAGTTTATACACAGATATTGTACACTATACTCAAGAACAATAACAATGCCTAGTGATCAGCAGGTAGTAAGAAAAAAAACGTGAGAACATAAAAGCGGGTTAGCGGGTTAATAGAAGTTCTGAACTGGATAATTTTATTTTGAGGGAAACCTCAAAAGGGCAACCTCATATAATAGAAGAAGAGAAGAGAGTTGATTCAGTTTATAAGTGAAATCGAACAATAACCTTTCAACAACATAGTTAATTAAGGAAAAACGACAACAAGCTTGACATTATCAAAGTGAGCTAACCACGCAGACCGCGATACCCACATACAAAGATCAGTGGTCCATCAAGGGAAAACTCATAAGACAAAGTCTTCGATAAGGACATGCCGACAGAATGACGACATCGCCCGGTACAAACAAATCTTAGGTTAATTTTCACCCGGAGAGATCCCTTGAGGTGGTGAAAAGCAATGGCTCCATAGTAACGTACGCTTTCAAGAAGGTGAACAACGCCTAAGAACATCATCATTTCTAGCGTCGGCATGTTGTGCGAGGCTTTCTCCTCATAGTCCTATCCAACCACTGTGTCCACGACGAA